GTGAAGTTTCGAGCCCAATGACAAACAGGAGCGCAACATTCAGGGATTGAAATTAACACACTCCAACTCGCCAAATGCGGGTACAAATGAACTTTGGTGGGAAACGCTGTCAAATCACGAGCCAATCTGGCGTGTTTCTGTGTTTACTCACTTTGCTGGGGAAGTTCGTGCAAGCCAAATCTGCGCGGATTCAGCGCAAATCCTCAACTCGTGAGTCCTCATGATATATTAAATACAGCGTATTGCACAGAATCTGCTCATATCTGGCTTACTTGAACACACACGTCACTACGCAACAAATAACGGCGCGCTTGTTCACTTGCATTGAAGTAATAGCGAATATTAAAAAGCATTTGGTTAACAGAAAAGACACTGTTATTATCCAACACCCTTCATGTTCTGTGCACTGTATTGGTCTGTCCACCTAAAACACATTTTTGGTAAAAAAAATAAAAGGCTGTTAAAATCGATTCCCTATTTTCGTTTTCGATACTTGTGTTGGTTGGTCCGATCGATTGTGCAATCAATTTTCGAACGTAAAGTGACAGCCCTAAACATAACCTGACCCGGACCAGGTTAGCCTTGGAGCGTAAGTTACTATGGCGATGAACACTGCTAAAAGCCAAACCACTTTCATGGTGCCTAAAACCCAGGGTTGGCGCAAACTAAACTGAAACATACCTGGCTAGACACCTAAACCGGCTTCCTGGTATAGGCCCCAGGTGTAAACAGGGCATTTGTTGTAGAGTTTCAGAAAAGATCTCAAACTAATTTTCACATTTAGGAGCTGCAGTTGGCGTCCCATTGAGTGAAGACGAGGCAAAGGTGTGTATGGTAAATGACATGCTGAAGGATCTCACCCCTCTTTCCACCGCATATGCCAGAGCCAGAGGTGAAACATCTCTCCATGTATCTCCTTTTCCGTTTTCAAACCAGAAGCATTAATCTTCTGTGTAGTTTGGCACGTTTGAACCTAAAAAAAGTATGGATAAATCTGAAAAATATCTTGTAGGTTCTGACAGGATGTCCTCCTTTGGAGATTTCATTGCTTTGTCTGACGTCTGTGATGTCCCGACTGCCAAGATCATCTCCAGAGAGGTGTGTGAGAGAGAAATGAAGAATAACTTTTTTTCACTAAGAGTTCACATTCTCTCAAAGCATTAGCCTCTTATTTAGCAAATACTTGATGCATTTATTTATACATTTTTATACTCAACTTTGACCATTATTTTTTTAAGGTGTCCGATGGTATCGTTGCTCCTGGTTATGATGAGGAAGCACTGCGAATTCTGTCCAAAAAGAAGAATGGAAACTATTGTGTCCTTCGGGTAAATCACGCTTATTGATTGATTAAAGAGACAGTACAATAATAGTCTGAAGTCTGTTATCCAAGTTTGATCCACGGTTTCACATTGCATTTTCTTTTTGGTCAAAACAGCACTTACAAAGAAGAAACTGTTGCAGGTTTTTTTTTTTGGGGGGGGGGGGATATTGATTCTGTACCTTGGTACTTTAATATATGTAATAATACCTATTATTCTGGGTGAATAGTGAATTTAGTATGGTAGTAATGCTCTCCAAGGCTGCATTTATTTAATTTAAAAATACTGTTCACTGCAAAAATATGGTGGAATATTATTACAATTTAAAATAAGGTTTTTTTAAGTTTAATATATTTTAAAATGTAATCTATACAAGGATGCTGAAGCTGAACTTTCAGCATCATTACTTCAGTCTTCAGTGTTACACGATCCTTCAGAAATCATTCTAATATGCTGATTTGCTGCTCAAACATGTATTATAAATGTTAAGAACAGTTGTGCTGATATGTCAAAACCATGATTCATTGTTTTCAGGATTCAAAAGAATTGCGTTTATAGATTTCAAGGACTTCAGGGTTATTGAAAAGAATGGTTCAACACAGCTCTGTCACTCTAAGCCTTCATAATGTATGTCTTGTTCAATTAGATGGATCCTGACTATGAACCGGATGAAGAGGAGGTGAGGGTGCTGTTTGGTTTGAACCTCAAACAAAAGAGGAATGGAGCCGTCATTGATAAAAAGCTTTTCAGCAACATTGTGTCAAAAGGCAAGGTGAGAAACTCCATCAATGCTGATTTTGTTCGCACTTTATTTTCCAGTACATGTGTGCTTATGTGTACTTGCCTAAAAAAACAACTAGGTAACTACATGGGTTAAGGTTAGGTTTTGAGGAATAACTACATATGTACATGGGGAACAGGACTGTAAATTGTTCAGTATTTAATTGATTTGTTTAACACCTTTAGCTTGGGTAAGGTTTTTAATGTTACGTTTTGGGGGTGTGAAACAATATTCTGTAGTAAATGTTGCTCACGATTTTATCAATTGTGATTTTGATTGGACTGTGGCGGGAAGAGGAGTTATGATATTAGCATATTATTTTCAACACAGAAAATGTGATTTTGATCTCATTGCAGCTCTCTGAGAGTGCTCTTCGAGACCTCATTGTAGCCAGTATCGCAGTGAAGTACACTCAGTCCAACTCTGTGTGTTATGCAAAGGATGGTCAGGTAACCAAAAACTTTTAAAAAAATGCAAATGCCTTTGCAAAATGAATTGTAAACCTCATTATTATGGTTTGTGTTTGTTAGGTGATTGGCATTGGCGCTGGGCAGCAGTCCCGTATCCACTGCACTCGGCTGGCCGGAGACAAGGCTGATAACTGGTGGCTCAGGCACCATCCCAGAGTGCTCAATATGAAATTCCGCAGCGGAGTTAAGCGTGCAGAGATGGCTAATGCCATCGATCAGTATGTCAGTGGAACAATTGGAGAGGTATTGTATCCAAAAATTGGTCATTTGTACTATGCCAGCCTAATTAATCAGATGATATTTCGCTGTTTTGAGATTATCTACATCAGCCAGCAACCATGCTTACTTGACCAGATCTTTCAGAGAATGCAAATTTTCTATGAGTTATTGTGCAAAAGAAGTGTTCATTTGTTCTCAGTTTTTTTGTGATAAGTAATTTGGATTAATTTATATATTTGGATGAATCTGACCAAAACTGTCAAAAAATGTCTGGTTCATTTCACCCCAAAATCCAAAAGGCATATCTAATATAAAGAAATATGATGCTTAAAATGACAGAATCTGGTATGAAAATGTGCTTAATTGTGAAAATGTCACTGTTTTATTTCATATAATGTTTTGAGTGAAATGACAGTGCATTTTGATGATGATTATTATTATTATACCTGGTCCCTCAACCTATAAAAGGCATCAGAAACAAAAACTGAAAATATGAATCTTTGAAGTTGCGGTCAGTGATAGAAATAATTTTATTGCCCAGTTTCACACACTAGGTTTAAGCTAGTCCCTGACTAAAATGCATGTTTCAGCTGTTTTAACTAACTTGCACTGATATCTCTTTAAATGTGTCAGTTTTTAACTTAAGACTTACTCCCAGCTCAATCCCTAAGTGAAACCAGGCCTGTGTGTCAGTATTTCTGCAGATTGCTGAGAGGTGGAGGTTTTCTGATGACATTTAATTTTTGTTTGTACGTCAGGGTCCAGATTTGGAGGCTTGGAAGGCTCTGTTTGAGGAGATTCCTGAGCCTCTGTCAGAGGTAGAGAAGAGGAACTGGATCAGTTCTCTGCAGGCTGTGGCCCTCAGCTCTGATGCTTTCTTTCCCTTCCGGGACAATGTTGACCGTGCCAAACGGGTAAACACCCTCTCCTAGTTACCAATCTTAAATCATTGTTTCCATATTTATGCACCTCATTTATCCATGCACACTTGTATACTTGTCACCAAAGTGATTTGTTGCTATATTATACTTTCTAAATGCCTATATTTAAGATGTCAAATGAACGGCATATAAAAGTGACAATTTTCTATCTGCGTATGGTTTTAGAGTGGTGTGGAGTATATTGCCGCCCCCTCTGGCTCTACTGCTGATGAGGTGGTCATCAATGCCTGCAATGAGCTGGGTATTACCCTGGTGCACACCAACATCCGTCTCTTCCATCACTGAAAAACGCCACACAACATCCAGTTGAAAACAAATAACCAACTATTTTCACTGTTACAAAGATTTAGGGTTTCTTTCTTTTTAGATGTACATCTTTTACTATAATTCCTAGTTTCTAACCATGTCATAACTTCTAGCCCAATAGCTAGTCTGTCCACTCAATAGATTAAGTATTAGAATGGTTGAGTTTCTGTTTTTTGTTGTTGCTGCTAAATAGTTTGGAACATTCTTCATGCATTGCTTTAATACTGATACACTAATAAGATGATCCACTCCTGTTCATTTTATAATGTGTTTTCTTTGCATAGTTTCTGCCATGCTGTCCTTATTTTTTCTGCACCATTTGCAATATGAAATTGCCTCCATACTCTTCCTGATGCATTCCATTGTGCTGCCTTTAATGTCTCATGAGCATAAAAAAAAAAAAAAAAAAAAAATCAAGGATATAATAGTTTCTCAAAGATTCCATCAAGGGTTTATTTGCATTTATTGACATGTTTTGTTTTTTTGCAAGGTTTGCTTTAGAATCTTGTTCCAGAAGATTTTGATTTGAGTGAAGTTTTATAAATACAATTTGAGTTTTGCAATATCAAAAAAGTGTATTTAACAGTAACGAATACTGTTGACAGTATAACATTGACAGTCAAATGCAACAAATAACATTCTATACAAGCAGACACTTCTGAATGAAGGGATAGTCAAAAAATTAGCAAATTGACATACAGTATCAATCTAAAAACAGTGCTGACTCTAAATAATCAATGAGCCATGTGGGGAAAAAAAAGATGATCAAATTTAAACTTGGTATTTGGTACCCCAGTGGTGCTCTAACATTCTTATAAAACAGTGCTTTTCTCCCCTACTACCGTATGTCTCACATTTGCTTATTTCAATTAATAAAGGTTAAAATCGGTTAAAAATACTAGTAAGGTAGTTTTTTTGTAAATTGCCCTATCAATTCATAAAGGCTAAAATCCTTTAAAAATAATGTTTTAGTCTTTTGTCAATTTAATTGAACTAGAAATCTGTTCTTTCCCGTTGCAGTTTTAGTATAAAGTAGTAGACTGTATTAACCGACTAGAAAGCGGAATTTGTATTAACCAGTATTATCCACACTAGCAAACACAAGTAAAAGCCAATCAAATTTAACAGCAATGTAACAGCAGCCAAAGGCTGTGAATGCATCACAACAGACATTGTGTAAAGCAGCAGCTGAACAGATGTGGTAACAAACAGGGAGGCTTTAAAGGCAGTATGTGTTTAGTACGTTCTCTTATGTCCTACGTGAAATATTGCATAATGGGGGCAGGAGGTCATGGTGCAGTTCTGTCGGAAAGGTTTCACTCTTGGGTTTTGGGATTGGCCACAGCATCTGCAAGAAGCTCAGGTCGGAGACATTCGATGGGGCATTGAATGTTCTGGAAGAACAAAGGGAAATATGTTATACAATGAAAACCAGAACTATTTAGATGTATAAATTCAAATGTGTACTATGAACCTTGGCAATGCAGTGTTCATTGCACATTTACCAAAAATATAATGGGTACATTCCCAGCTTGAAAAACTAAAGATATTTTGTGTGGCCATTTGAAATGTTTGAATGAATTAAGGCAGATACCCACCATCCTGTGGCCGTTGTTTAAGCGGACAGGTTTCAGCAGCTCGGAGCTTATCTCGGCACCAGGCTTTCTGCAATTCTCACAGCGCCAACCCTAAGAGCAACATGTACACAATGCATTTCATCAGACTCAAGCATATAACTGTGAATCACCCTCTTTGAAGTCTCATTTCTCTTTGAAGGACCTTTTCTACTTGTTTTTAAATTTACTTTCTACAAGTTGTCCATGCATATGGATGTGAATTAAATAGTTAATACCTGCTGTCCTCCATAGCATGTGCAAGTGCAGATTGCCCCCAAGTATTCCTTCTGCCACTGGTTTCCGACCTGGTACATCTTTCCGTCATCGTAACATATGGACTCATCTATAACGAAATGTACAACATTTTTATTCCACTGCTTGGAACTGAAGAAACTTGACTATACAGAAGAAGAAGGACTTACGTGGTTCGCACTTGAACTCTCCTTTACCATTGCCAAGGCAAGCGCAGCTCATCAAGTGACCGTTTTCTGCCCGTCGCTCCCACTTTTCACCAATGCGGTAGTTGTTTCCACTATCGTGACACCATTCTGTGTAAAAACAGGCATTCAGAGTGCATATGCTTTTGATAGACAGGATTGCCTTCAGGATAAAATCCACCATTGGCCTTCAGGTGTGAAGTTACTCACTGGAAGAGTCACATCTGAAATGTCCACTTCCCAGGCCAAGACATCTGCACCAGAGTTTGAAGCCAGTCTCAGACATACGCTCCCATTCCTCTCCAACATCATGGTGAGTGGCTGTGAAGGTGTCATAACATGAGTCCTTGCTGGATGAAACATCTCCTGGTACTGTCGATTTTATAGGGAACACAATAAAGAAACATTTAAGGCATAAGCATCATAAGCATGTGCAATTTTTAACTTTCATCACTGTTCATAGATCCTTTCTCGACCTGTGTTTCCAGCGGTGATAATTTCCTCCAAGATCTTGTGTTTGAGGGCTCCTTTCAAGGCCTCCACCATGACATTATAAGAGGCACCAGAGGTGAGACCAATCAGGGTGGCACTTGTGGACGTTCCTGGGAAACGCATCTGCAAAACAAGAAAAGGTCAATCTTAAGAGCAAATGTAAGGTGATAAAGAAATTCGGTAACTTATCCTGTACATCCTGTCTTTACCTGGAACTTCTTCTCATCTTGATGGGTAATGGGCTGACAAGACACCAGATAACCAGAACTCTGCTGGTAGGGCTGCCATGAGATGGTGGTCTGGGTCTGGGCCTCTTGCGGTCTTCCTGTTTTGTCCTCTGAAAAACCAAAAGGATGGCCATCGCCAGGCTTCTCATTAACCTGAATAATCTGAGGTACACGACTCCCATCGGGTCCCACCTTAGGGATGTATACTAGGGTCTCCCCAACTTGAGGCACATAAGGCTGGGGTCGGGGTTGGTTAGGTTGACGATGTTGAGGCTGGTAGCCTCTGTTGGGTTGATTGGGCTGATTATTGAATTCTGTGTACTCCACGTGCTGCCCGTGTGCATCAGGTGATTCATGCCCAGTGGGACCCACTACGTGAACTCTGTTGTCAGGCTCAGGCACATCCAGCTTGTCTGGGCCGCCATGGTGAGGCAGGCTAGGCAGATCAGAAGTCAGCTCTGTGCGGGAAAAGGGTGTTAAAAGCAAAGCAGCAGGTAAAGAGGCAGCCAGAGTTGCATCTACAGTCCAGTAAGGCATTGAAAGTAGAGTCAAGTAATGACAGTACTTGCTGACATAACTTTAAAGGGGGGGTGGGTCCAATTATTTTCTCAAACCAATGTTTTGCAATTAAACAGTGAGGAGGAAGTGCATATGATTATACCAACCAGTTGAGAGTCTAAATATCAAAACAAAGATACTTTGGTTTGGATATGGTGTAAGGCTAAGAAAGTATAAAGTATACACGTCTCCTCAGAGTGAAAATATTGGCGAAAGTGAGATAAAATATTCAGTATGGACCAGCCCTTTAAACACAGATCAAGGTTTTTGATCATAGTAGTCCACTGAGAGAACACTTTGCTTGAATCAACAAGGTGATAAGCTAGCAAGTGTGTCAATTAAGCAACATTAAATGCAATTTTTCCTTCATTTTGCATTTCAGTACTAAATGCATTTCACCATTAAAAAGCTAAGCACTGCAACTAAGAAAAAATATGGCTTAGCCAAGTATCTTTTACTAGTAAAAGGCAAGCGAGTGCAATATCAAAGCTTTTATAAAATAAAAAATACAGTGTTGGCTAGTTTAACAAAATGTGTTCCATTCGGCAACAAAGCATAATGGAGTACACCTTATGTCTCAATATGTGGATTGACAATGTACATTTATTCATTAAGCAGATGTTTTTATCCTTACAAATGAGGAAAATAAATGTTTTTATATGAGCAAACACTTACGAGTTGTGGCTGTGCCAACCAGTGGTGCACTTCTCTGGGTATTCATTAGGGCAATGATCTTAATGATGTATTCGGTGCCTGGTTTCAGACCTGTATTTAAAATATCACAATATGGACACATTGTTAAATTTGTTTTCTAACATCTATGTATACCACATGTAGGTGTAACGTGATGCATTCTGGGTCTTACCAGTGATGGTGGCATAGTTCTGGCCAGCATTAGGACTTGGTATAAGCTCACGAGGCTGACCACCTGATTCTTCATAAGTGATGTAATATCCTGTAATTCGTGTTGGGGGGGCTTGCCAAGTAAACGTGATGGAATTGGGGGTCAGGGAGGTGAACTGAAGGTTGGTAGGAGACTGAACAGCTGGCCGAGCTGTGATGATATAAAGTTCATAAGGGTCATTCTGGGAAATGTCAATCAATTTATTTTGAGACTTCATGCATTAGCATTAATACAGTGGATTACTTTTCCCACATGGACAAATTTGCTTAGTTGTACCTGTGGTTACAGTCATTGTGAATGGAGGGGATCGACTATTTCCGTTCAGAGTGTACATGTTGACCACATACAAGACACCTGGCTGCAAACCTGAAGTATGAATTAAAATTATTTCATTAAACAGCAATACTCCAAAACATGGTAAAACAAGTTCTGAAATCATTCTTCATCTATTCTAAACCAATCAGGATGCAACATTAAAATATTTACCATGTTAACGGTAAGATACTATAGATTTTGGACAATACCATAATGGTAATATCATGGTATTCTTTGACGTAACTTACCAAAGAAGTTCATAATTCCAGGTTTAGTTTACTCATTGAGCTGACAGTGGTTAACCATCAATGTTGAAACCGATGGCCTATAAGGTGTTACTTGGATTATGTACATTAGCTTACCAGTGACAACGTAGGTTAGTGTGTCAGCAGGAATAGTTTGTCTGACGGTGGGGTATCCTCCATTTTTGGGTGTGGCTTCAATATAGAAACCTGTCATTGGCTCATTATTGACAATGCGCCATGTAAGAGTGAATGAGGTGTCTTTCACATCAGTGACACGGACTCGGCGAGGAGGGGTTATATCTGTGGAGCCAAATAGATTATAGCTTCCATTTAATACAGGATACTAATACTAAAAAAAGTCACTCTATAATCCATATTATGGGAAACACACTTACTGTCTGCAGTGGTGCTCTCTCCAGTGAGAGGAGGACTACTGTCTGAACCCCTCAGTGCATAGACATGTACATCATAAGCGGTGGCCACCTGGAAGTAAACAGCAGATATTTAAGACTAAGATGGATTGGTCATCATGATTGGTTAAACATGGCAAATGCTTTGACTCATTTTCTTTGGAACAAAAACATTGAAATGCAACAACCAATGTGTCAAACATCCTATATTTATTACCTGTTTATTGGGATAATTGATTCTTATATTTAAACATTGTCCCTGGCAATAAATCACTCTGCTGCTTTTACTTGTGACTGTATTTGTTACTTGTGTGTTACCAAAAGATGAATGTATTTGTAAAGCGTGAGAAGGTAGACATATATTACCATAAGCCCGGGCACTAAGACTTGTGTAGAGTCAGGTGAAACATTCATTTCTTTGGGTGTGGGATACTGGTTCTTTGGGGTGACCACCACACGGTAGCCAGAAAGTCTGCCACTGGGTGCCTGCCATGCCACAATAAAGGAAGATGGACTGATCTCGTGGAACTGGATATTGGTCGGAGCAGGAACAGCTGAGAAAGGTGAAAGGACAAAAATCAGGAAAGATCCCCCGTAACACTCAACCCCATTAACTTACTAGCTTAAAAATCTAAGCTGAATTACAATATGACATACCAGTGGGCTGAGTCTCCTCATGGGTAGTGTGCTGAGTACCCTCAAGGGGACGGACTGGGTTACGTCCTTTCATGGGAATGACTTTAACATTGTACTTGGTTCCTGGGCGCAGACCCTGGAGAACCACACTGTTATCACGACCACTTGGGGCTGGTTGGTACTCTCGTTCTCCCTCCTCTGGACTAGAGTACAGAACCCTATAGGAGGTCACTGGAACCCGTGGAACATCCCATGTCACAAGCATGGAGGTGGCGTCCACATCAGAGAAGGTCAGGTCTCTTGGATGCTGCAAATTGGCTAGAAATTTGAAAGGGAAGCGTTAAGGGAGTATGCATAGGGTGGTTTAGCATAGTTGCTAGAGCTCAGCACTATTAACTGAAAGGATGCTGGTTCAAATCCCGCAAGAAACAAGCAATGAACCATTGACCCCTTGAGCAAGACACTTATCTTCAGGTTGTTCCAGTAGACAAGTTAGACCTGAACTGATTTCAAATGTTAAAAAGTTCAATAAGTTAAAAGATATTAAAAAAAAACACTAACCTGTTGTAGCTTTCTGGACCACTGGGGTGCTCTCTCCTTCCCGGCTGATAGCTATCACATTAATTGTATACTCCACTGTGGGTACCAAGCCACCGATTGTCATTTCAGTACGCTCTAAAAAGGCAGAAACAGAATAGTTATTATACCAAGTTCAAGTACTGAACTAATTCTTCTAAGTCAGCTTCAAGGTCATGAGAAGGAATAAAAATTTATAAAAGGTTAAAGAGCGAGAGATGTCTCACCAGGGCCGACCAGCTCAGAGAATGTAGGACCTTCCCCACCCTTGGGCGTCCCTGTTACTTTATACCCTGTGATGGGACCTGTAGCTGGGCTCCAGCGGACAGTCAAGGTATTGTCTTGAATATCAGTAACATCTAAATCTGATGGAGATGAAACACCTGAAAATGGAGAAAAGTAAAGACAGTACAGTCACAAGAAAATTGTGGTAAGCTAATGGTCAGAAACCGTAATACATACAAATGACTTGTGCATGAGCACTTACTTCCACCTGCAGTCCTGTGTGTGATGATGACTGGTGTGCTGGAGGCTGGGCTGTCACCTCTGCCTGTCACGGCATACAGCGTGATGGTGTAATCGGTGTCCGGCTGCAGGCCCTGGATGGTAGCAGTGGACTGTGTTCCTGGAACAGTGAACTCTCTGGGTGTATCTCTTTCCCCTGGGAATCAACGAGAAGGAATCAACTGCATTTACAAGTTCAAGTAAACTTTCAGCAACAGAACACAACAACACAAACACACTTTAAACCATTTGTCATACCTGTTTCTCCATGTGTGATCTTATAGTAGCGTACAGTGACTGCAGGGGCATCCCAGGAGATGATGATGCTAGTGGGAGTGGAGGACGTCACAGCCAGGTCAGTGGGAGCGTCAGAGACTACAGGAAGAAACAAGAGTCACATCAATCTACCTCACAAAGATTATCAAATTTTTTTTATTAATTTCTAACTTCTCACCAGTTGCTTGCGTTCCAGTAAGTGGTAGACTCTCTGTATTGCTGCTGACAGCATAAATATAGACATTGTACTCTGTCTCGGGGGCCAGGTTCCCCAGTGTGAAGTAATTTCTTGTTGGGGGAAGTCTCTCATCTTTAGGGCGCCCATCCCTTGTTGGCTGATAGCGTAGGCGGTAACCCGTAATGACGGCACGTGGGGCCATCCAGTGCACGGTAAATGAGTTGGTGGAAACATCAGAGAAGTCCAGATTTGTCGGGGAGTCCAGTTCTGTGAGAATGAGGAGAAAAAAGAAATAAGTGGAAGAACTGACGGACTTGAAGTGGTAAGAAACCTAATAACTGAATACCATTTCTTGTTTCCAAATACATACTTGTTTTCTGAATACCAGTTACTGGTTCACTCTCTTTGTCATCATAGACGCACACTACTTTCACCAGATACTCTGTGTTTGGCAGCAAGTCTGAATCGAGAAAAAATCAGAATCAGTAGGTGAAATGTGTTTGGACTGTGAGATGCACAACATCCATCTTGTGATTTGTTTCCTAAAGGGTGAAATAAAGAAAGCATTAGTAAACTCTTACTCTGAAGGATGAAGCTATTGGTGCCACCTCCTACGTTGACTTCCTGCGTGTCATCGTCGTTGTTTGTGGGATGGTAGCGGATGACAAAACGACTAATTTCGGATGGCTGAACAGAAGGTGCGGTCCATGACACATGCATGGAGTCTGAGCCCACCTCAGGAAAGTACAGGTTTGTGGGGGCTAGAACAGCTAATCAAGAGGACATTGAGAAAGAATAAAGTCATAAACGAAGTAAAAAGTTTGTCAGCATGGATTGAAATGTGTATGCTAAAAAAACATTTAAATTAATATTATATTTGCAAAAAATAAATGCTATTTAACTTTTTCTTATTAACATGAAACAGGAATACAATGAAGACAAACAAAAAGATTCCCCACCTAGTGAATGCAAATGCAAAGATATTCCTAGAAATCCATCAGTATATTCTGATGTAAGCATATTATTGTTTGGGAAATAGCAAATTGCTAACAATCTTGGTTAGCGAGGAAATAATGAAATGAAGTGGTCTGAGCGAATTATGGTTGGGGGGGAAGAGGGTCTCGGCCTCTCTTTTACGTCCATATTCTCCATTCCTTTCTTACTTTTTTTACTCCCACCCTCCGAAATGTAATAAACCTATGTGGCATAATTCACCAGTTTGGGTTTGCTGTGTGATCACTGAGGGCACGCTCTCCGCCTCATCTGTAATGGTGGACACACTGATTTCATAATTGATGCCTGGCTCCAGTCCACGAATAGTGTAATAGTTGACGGAGGAGTTCACCATGTCCTCTAAAATAAGAAAATTCTGGCCGGCTGTAGCAACTGTTATATGGTATCCAGTAACCGCTGGGTAATTTAGTGGGGTCCATCTAATTCCGATCGTGGTATCCGTGAAATCAACAAAACTGAGATCACCCACCTTGGGCACATCTTTAATCGGTTTACAAAGTTGCATTCATTGGGAAGGGAGAGAGAAGACAAGACACACAGAAGCAATGACATTGAATAATTAAGACAAGTAGCAAATCATTGTTTCTCATGCCATCAATGCTAACAAATGCTAATAGCTAAATAATAGTCAGAAGACATGCACACAATAATGATACAATAAACAGGCTTTTGATTTGAATTACCGGTAGTCATACTACAAAAAAAAAAAAAAAAAATCAAGCTCCAACTTTTCTAGCAACTATCAAATGCAATAGATATTTATAACCATAAGTGAAACAGCCATGCTTGTTGAGAATTACACAATTATTTTCATGATGCACAAACAGATTAAACAATGCCAAGGAATTGCATTACTGGATTTTCTTAGTAATTATTAGCTCTATATTAAAAGCAACAGTCTTTGTGTATCTGTGATGCATATAAATGATCTGCAGCATTTAACAAGAACATCAGGATTATGTGGTGCAGTGGACATAGTTCAGGGCTGGAGACTGAACTTTTGGGTGAATACTAGCAGCAGGTTGGAGACCTGTGAGGAGTAAGCCATTAGTTATCACCATTGTGGCCTTGAGCACTAAAAATGGACCAATGGTGGTTTGGCTTCCACATAATGTGTATAACATGCCGTCTGGTAAGATGTGCTTGTTGTTCCTATTCAGTGCTTGTTATTGTTTGCATTAAAAGCAGCAAATGGCAAGCATATACGCCAAACTGCTGTCAATGTGAACATCTCTTTACACCTCTTTTTGGCTGGGTGTCTTGAGTGGGTGAATTTATAAATCTACAGGTCCATGATAATCAGGTGATTCTCTGGATCAGTCATGGTGGTTTTGATCCAGCATAGCATGGCTTGAACCTACCTTTAATTATCTTATTACTATACTGTTATACACAATAAATGAGGTCTTACCTTGCGTAATGGTGGTTGAGACAGGCTCACTCTCTAGGTGGTTTTTAACAGTGTAGACACTGACATTGTATTCAACTCCAGGACTCAGGTTGTCAAGAGTACATGAGGTTTCTTCCGCTTGAACAATCTCCTCTAGAGTAGTTCCACGCTGCCCATTGGTTGGTGCGCACGTCACTCTATAGCCAGTTATATCTGAGAGGATAAAGGGGATATTTCAAGTATAACAAATAGAAATGGACACTTACGAAATAGCAATGTGAATGTACTATGGTTGAGAGGCGGTAATACCATTTGATTGCCATATTCAAATTCCATAGGGTTAGGTTAATTATAGGTTCTCTAAAGAACACCATGGTGTTGTTCAATAAACTATGGTTTATATATATATATATATGGTAATACAATGAATAACGGGATAAAAATAAATGCTAACAGACAGTGTGTAGGGTTTAACATGTACAAAAAGAGTTAGAATTAAACGCACTAAATGTAATAATAAACACGACAAACAGATGAAAGATAAATAAACAGAGTGGGAGCAAAGGATGATTCCCAATGAGAAGATTATTAATATAATTAAACCTAAATATTTGCAACCAGTCACATACACACACAGCCTACACAGATGGCCAAGGTCTAATAGCATGCTTCAAAGAAAGGGTGAACAAGGATAAGAAGTGGGTGTACAGTCAATATTTACCCGGACTGTTGGTTCTGCTCCATCTGACATTGAGGTTACCAGTGACAGGGTTAGACACCACATTCAGGTCAGTTGGTGGGGATAGGGCTTATTGTGGCAGAGCAAAGAGGAATAAAGTTCAACATTAGAAAATGTACCTACTACTTTAAGCCCTACAATACAGGCTAAAAGTCTCTTGAATAGCATTTCATTTAATCTCTGTCAGAGGTCTAGTCATAAACCAACATGCGCGTTTTGCTCTCTAACATTTAGAGCTTTCGGACAAAGTAGGATTGACTTGAATTAGACTTATCAGTAACTTACATGTCACAACTTTATTTGTGATAGGGTTGCCACGCTTTCGGCCATTGAACAGGGGCTGCAAGCTGTAGGTATACTCCAATCCTGGAGTCAGACCGGAAAAGTAAATTGTGCCATCCCCAGAGGTCACATCTCTGGGAGCCTCACCACCTTGGCTGGGCCTCACAGACATCTGAGAGAAAGGACATATATTAAGACTATCTTAAGACAGGAAGTCAAAGTTGAAACATCACAGGGAAATGGGGGTTTTTTCTCAATGTTTTACTCAACAAAATGCTAATGTGAAAACCAGCAAATTGTAAATAAAGTGTTTATACCCTGTAGCTGAACCGTGGTATAGGGGTCCAGGTAATGATGATGGCCGTGTCGGTGACATCAGTGGTGAATCGAGGAGCATTACCCGTTGGCTGAGCTGGAGAACAAAAGCAAAAGAGAGGATAGGTAAAATGGACACTCCTTGGAGGACACTATTACTCTATTGTTTCACCTCAGGAGAAAAGGTTACGCACATGTTCTGAAGGCATCAGTGACTCCTTCGCTGAGTGTGCTCCCTTGCTCTGAGTGCAGAGTGACTCTGTACTCTGTATCAGGCTGAAGGTTGCTGAGCTTGTATTGAGACTCGTGGCCAGGGATCCTCAGCTGTTTGGGGCTGGAGCTGCCGATGCTGATGAATAGACGATAACCTGTGACCTGAGCTTTGGGTACAGACCAGATGACCAGAGCGCTGTCGTCAGTGATGTCAGTGAAGCGCAGGTCGGTAGGGGCATCAGGCTCTGAGGGAGGAGAATGTTGAATTGATGTTTACATAGGCAATGTAAAAATCTTTGACCTAGATGGTATGTATGACATACTCATAACTATAAACAGATTCAGCAACTTTTGTTAGTTGCACTTCAGATCATGAACAGCTCAAAGACAAATGTATGAATGTCACTTACTCGTAGATTTCTCCCCAACCAAAGGTTCACTCTCCACTCCTCCGACGACTGCATAAATATGGAAGCGGTAGAGTGTGCCAGGGTGCAAGTGCGTGAGCTCGGCGTAAGCATTTTGCGTCACAGGAAGCTGAAGGGGTCTCTGGGCCCGGCCGTCTGTGCTTACAGGCGCAAAGGTCACTCGGTATCCTGAGACCTCATTAGGAGGACCAGTCCAGGTGATGGTGATCTTGACATCGGTAACTTCATAAAACTGCAGGTCTGTGGGAGCTTGGACCTCCTCTGTTAAATGAGGTGGAAAGCAAAATTGCAATCTTTCAGTGCTCTACTACAAGGAAAGGTATAAATGATCAGTAATGTAAACACAAGAGTAATTTGGGCAAGCTAGGATTAGGAGTCTGTTCAAGTATCCACAAGTATAAGCAAAAAAATAGTGATGATTAGTTTAACAAGTACCACTAAATATTTTTTTCATCGGAATGTCTATGTCCCCTGCTGAAAAATTGCTGGTCACCAGCATGTTTTGAATGCTGGGACCAGCATGGGAAGTGGGAGCCATGGCGAACCAGCTACACCTGCTAAGTTTTGCTTGAGAACAGCATGACTATGCGGGTCCACCAGCTAGTAGGGCTGTCACTTTTGTGAAAAAATCCTGTTCGATTTTTGAGACATAATGTTAACTGAATCGATTGTAAAATCGATTTTCCATGTCTAAAGACGTTTCCATTTTCAACACCAAATATAGGCAAATCCACAGACAACTAACAGGCATTAGGACGAACGTAAAGAGGGCGCTTGAGACGCACAAGTCAGCAATATTTCTGATGATTTATTGGCGTGAAGTTTCGTGCACAATGACAAACAGGAGCGCAACATTCAGGGATTGAGATTAACACCCTCCGACCCGCCAAATGCGGGTACAAATGAACTTTGGTGGGAAACGCTGTCAAATCACGAGCCAATCTGGCGTGTTTCTGTGTTTACTCACTTTGCTGGGGAAGTTCGTGCAAGCCAAATCTGGCGGATTCAGCGCAAATCCTCAACTCGTGAGTCCTCATGATATATTAAATACAGCGTATTGCACAGAATCTGCTCATATCTGGCTTACTTGAACACACACGTCACTACGCAACAAATAACGGCGCGCTTGTTCACTTGCATTGAAGTAAAAGTGAATATTAAAAAGCATTTGGTTAACAGAAAAGACATTTTTATTTTCCGACATCCTACATGTTCTGTGCACTGTATTGATCTGTCCACCTAAAACACTTTTTTTTTTTTTTTTTTTTTTTTAAGCCCGTTAAAATCAATTTCGAAACTTGTGTTGGTTGGTCCGATCGATTGTGCAATCGATTTTCGAACGAAAAGTGACAGCCCTACCAGCTAGCATAAACCAACATGGAATTCATGCTGGTTTTTGCTGGATTATTCAGCAAGGTAATCAACAGATGCTTTCTTGGAGTTCAAAAAAGTAAAAGAGTTCTCTATTGGCTTCAAAAGAAAAACAGGATGATCACACAAGGAAGAAATGACTTTTCACAGTTCTCATAAGGAAGTGTCTTTTTGGGAAAAAGACGTCAACTGGCAAGACAAGAACAGAAAGACACTCAACACTTCCCAGTCCATCCTTATAAAGTTGTTTTGGCTAAGCACTAAATCTCCCAGCTCAGGCATTTGCTATAGTCAGCTCTCAGCGTGAGGAGGCAGAGAACTGGCAGACATATTTACACGTGAGTGAGAAACTTGAGCACTTTCACTAGCTTAGAGAAATTGAGTAAATAAAGTTGTTTGAACTAAAATGTAGATATAAAATACTAGGAGTGTGAGGGTGTAAAACATTTTGACACAACCAGAGGTAAGAATACACATGTTGAACTATTTGAGAATAAGAGGGGCAGCAGAAAGCTATAAACACAAAAATAAACTGGGAGGTGCAGCCTGCAACATGTCTCAACATGACTTCTGTCTCCAAATAATTTCCTGTCACTTTCTACTATATCTTGCAATTAAAGAGGATCCCAAAAGAGGATATTCTGAACTCTTACCAGGCTGTTGCTCTCCAGTGGTGCTGACCAGTAGGACCAAAGGTTCACTCTCCAAGTTGTCTTCCACTGAGTAAATACTGATATTGTATGACAAGCCAGGTCGAAGATCACCCAGTTTCACATTTGTTTGAGTCTTGGGGAGGATGAGCTCAGTACTGCTGCCCTCGACTGAGGGTCTGTACACCACACGATAGCCTGCGCACACATATTACATGAAAAAAATGTTGATGCCTATTCCACATTCATGTACATTATCAGCAGACATACTAAAAGTGCAACTTAAGAATACAATTAATATCTTAATTCACAAATGCTGGTACACAAATTTACTCACCAGTTATAGGTGCTTGGGGTTTGGACCATCTTATCATGATGGACGTATCCTGGACATTTGAGACCTCGTGATTGGTTGGAGTGTCAGGTGCTGTTAATAGACGGTTAATTTATTCACCAAGAACTTCATGTGGCAACCCATTCTTAGCATCAAAATTTTAGCAACAAAATCACATCATAAAATAAACGTTGCTGTTTGCTCTGCAAATGCAATGTGAAAAACACCTAGGCTAAATAAAATAGTTTAATTAAATAATGCACAATACTGTTTTTAATGCCTGGTAAGAAATATTCATGGCTTTTAAATGGCTTCTTAATTTTGAACCCTGTGCACAGTGATGATCATCTTACCAGTGGTCTGAGATGTTGACAGGATGCGATTTGTTTCTCCTTCTGGATTGACTTCAAAAACTTGGACGTTGTACCTACGGCCAGGCAGAAGATCTTGGATGTTCACTGATGTAGTTGTTCTTGGGAGGTCTGTGTATTGGGGAAAAAAAGAGTAATTAATTAACTAATTAAGTCAATTGAATTTTACAGTCACTAGAAAATCTGAGAATTATATTCATCAACGGTGTTTAATTCCCAGTAATATACAGTTTTTCCAACTAGTGGCATGTCTCCAACTATTACTCACCAATCACACGTGGCTGTGCTCCATCCTCTGACAGTTCATATTCCACTCTAAATCCAGACACTGTGTCGGATGCAGATACCCAGGAGATGACGAAGCTGCTGGAGGTGATTTCGGTAACGGACTCTGAGGTGTCCACCTCCGGCTGGGGCTGGGTGGTCTCCCCCTCTGCTTTGGCCACTGCAAAAATGGGGAATGATGTTAAATGAAGTTTTCATGTTTTGTTGCAATAGGTTTTTGAAATTCCTATAAAAAAAAAAAAGAATTGAAGATGATCAAAAAGTTCAAAATCTACATACGAGAGCCATACGTAGTGGTGAAGTCAAAGCGAGTGACCTCTCTAGGTCCATAGCGCAGAATGCTGATCAGTTGACCCTCATAGGTCAAACCTGGTTTAAGCCCTGAAATGGTGTAGGAGTTGATGTTGCCAGGAATGGTTGCCTCCTTCCAGGGTTTTTGTGTGTTTTTCTGCGAAAGGAAAATGTTACACGCTGAAAAAATCTAGAAATAAATATTTAGTTAAACAAATAACAGATTTATACATTTACAAAAGCAAGTTAATACGTCGCAAAGGTGTTTCTAATACAACGGCTGAGGGAGTGATGGTAAATTTGACATCTTTCTTTCTTTTGACTGCTGTAATCAGTCTCTATATTTTTTCTGTTTTGGAAATTTGTGGAAACACTGTAGTGGATTTTTTTCTTTTGCATTTGAGCAAATGGAAGCGCAAAAAATCTATTTGCTGCCGTCTACCGTTCACCGCTATAGAAGTTCAAATTGACCTTCTGAGAACCCCAGAAATGTGAAAAGGGTGCATTATTCTGCTTTATTTACAGGCCTTGAAACAGCCCTGACCAATCTTGCAAAAAAACAAAACAAAGAGCAGGTATTCACATTAGGAAAAATATAAATAATATATATTCCAAAAAATATATCGTTTTTTAATGTACTTAGGCCTGCAAAAATAAAATATTGTTCCACTTTAGATAAATTGCTATTCAAATTCCCTACACCCTGAAAAAAAAACAAAAAAAAACTAGAGAGCCTCTTTCTTTTAGTTAATAAGAATAAAGATGCACAATTTTGCAACTTTCCACTGAAGTCCATGATTCACTGTGTCAGAGTGAAGAGTAAATGTGTGTTTTTTAGTTCAAGGACTGTGGCTTGTTTGTGTGTGATGAAATCTTATCCTGTACTTTTAGTATAAGCGATCATCCCTTGCCGAGGGAGGTACACAAACATTCTCTGAAGGGACAAAATCTCGTTCCAGGAATCTGGATAAAAATCGATGCTGTTGGAATCTTCTTTACTGACATAAAACTATATCACCAGAAAAATCCAGATCTGAAAATCCTCAATGCGAAAGTACCAAACAAAAAGACTTACGACTCTCCACTTGAGGATGTATTGCGTAATGTGGGCAGACGAGGGAGCGTTCCATTGGATGGGATGGGAATTCGGCTGATTTCCAGTTTCTGTGATGATGACCCGAACAGGAGCTTTTGAGGAGGAGGATAAACAAATAATGATTGTTAACTGACTGATTAGCTAGTTTCACATTGTAAAGGCCATTTACTCTGATGTTGTATTTAATTCACCGAGAAGGAAAGGAAAACAAAGAAGTCTTTGAAAACAGTCTGTTTCACATTAAGAATTTGAAAAGAAGTTTGGATAAGACAGTCTAATCATTTTTCTTGCCAGATGTCTGAAAATGGAACAAAATGACCCCAGCTTGTCAAGTGAGGGGCGTTAAACAGTTCAGAGGATGATTGCATGGGTGCGGTGTTAAAAATCACACCTGTCCATAACATTCTGCACCACTTTACCCTTTATTATCCCCAGGCCTTCACATAATTTGGTTAACAGCTGCATGCAATTCAACACGGTGAGGTCATTTTGAACAATTCTGATGTCCCCTTCACCTCTGGCAGAAAATACATCAGTCTTTGTGGTGTCAAAACCAAAATTATACTGAAAATATTCAGTACAATTGACTGAATTTGAAGATGGTCAAATCGACCATTTGAAGATGATCCCCTAGATACAAAATCACAGTGGCCCTTCAAAAGCACAACCTTCAAAAAGCATAACACTTCAATCAGTGTTAAAGACAATCATTTACAGATGGTCTAAGTACATAGTGCAGCTGTCCTTTTTTGGTTCTGTGAAGGTCGTAAAAATGCAGCTCACACTTTCCTTGAAAAAACGCCAAATGCTAACAAACGGCACCCTGTCTTGCATTACTTATTGCTACTCCTACAGGCCATTTGGTTGCAAAGAATCACAACTGAACATCAAACCGTGGTATTGCAAGCTATAAATGCTGTTTGAGAATCACCTGTGGTATTTTGCACAAGTTTGCCATAATCATAGACTAAAATAAAACTCTACCAGTTGCCAAAACCAAAGATTAAAATAAAAATCTAACATCGTTCAAAGGCATGATTTTCAATGAATAACGACTAAAATGGTACTCCATTTCTAGCACAAAGCTGTCATTTGTCTACAGAAGATGTGAAATATACAGTAGTGCACAAATCATATGACTACTTTTATGGTACTTTTGGGAGGTTGAAAGCCCTAGAAACTTAAATGTATCTATCTATCTCTTTTTTATATATATATAGAAGCCAGGACATTCTGCTAAACATCTTTACAAAAAAAGCCATTTCTGTCCTATCTGCCTAACTTCAAATGGTTAATGTTTCCCCTGTAGAGAGGTTAGATGGAGGTTGATCTACATCTGCTGAATTTCAAAGAGGTTGTTGATTGGTAAACGATGGGTGACAACGATGGGTGACAGCTCTTTTAGTGGGACCATTTGAGGCTTTTAAAAGAAAAACAAACATGCATAATCAAGTGTTAGTCAAGTTAAAGGAGGGTAATTGCGGGAAAGTGACTGTTGCACAGGTGTAATTTCCAGTTGGGACGGGTGGGACATGCCCCCACTACTTTTTCAAAGCCACTAAAAAATGGCAGGCTTACAACGAAGAAAAGAAACAGCATCTCCAATCCATCTTTCTTTTCAAATTAATTCATACATGTTACGCAAAATGCATTTGCGCCAACCACACAGGCCTGATTTATGAATCTTGTCACACACATATCAGGATTTATAAACAAAAAACGATGTTAGTATGTGCACAGCACCCACACACAGTTGTGATCTCTTACCAGTAGACTGTAGAGGCTCACAGGCCAGTTCTCCAATGCCGTTACCATAGCAGGAACATCTATACGGGACGCCTTGGATGACCTTGTTCCAAGTCTGGCCAATCTGGTAGAACACCTTGGTCTCGGGTTCTTGGCACTGGTCTAAAGACAAAGAAAAAATGGTTTGTGTATACAAAGTAAAAATAATCTTTCTTTTCTCACAACTCTGACATGTTTACAAAAACTATTGTTTAAAACGAGTCTGTTCGATTTGAATTGAAGGAAACATGACCATTCATGTTGTAAGATACTTTGAACGTATGAAGTGAAGTTCTTACATTTTGAGAAAAAGGTTAGAAAAAGGAAAGAGAACAAAAGGCTGAACATAGCAACGCATGCCTGCTTACCGATGGCATCACATTTCCAGCGACCACGGCCTTGTCCAAAGCATGTGCAGTTCATCATGTAGCCCTGGTCATGACGCTTTTCGAAGGTCTCGTTCACGTCATATGTCTGTCCATTCACAACGCACTGATCTGAAATAGGCAAGAATTTTTTGAACAACTTTATGATGACATAGTTTGTATTTATTGTATTTCATGATGTCTTTTGTCACGTCCAGAACTACTTATTACCAGTATATTTGTAAGATAAGTGTATTTCAGAACATCTAATGACCTTTGAGCTGAGTGAAGGAAATGCAGTTCCACTCCCCGCGTCCATTGCCCTGGCACGTGCAGCGCATCATGTGACCAAGTGTGTCATGGCGCTTGTCCCACTCGTCACCCACACGGTACATGGCATCATTAACAGTGCAGACTTCCTCGTGAGCTGGATTAAAACGAAGAAAGGAAATTTATGATTGCATTAAAAAACCAAATACTTACAACAAGGATGTCTATTCTGAATGAATGTAGTCTTTGGTGTGCATTCTGATCTCATTCTCCCTGGAACAAAGCCAGGAACCATGTCTGGTCTGGAGTGGAGCCAGGCTTAAAACCCTGACAGGGGCGGACCCCATAGATCCAGTCAGCGGAGCCACAAATCAGTACTGCATTACATGGTCTTAAAAACTCCAACTGCCTTAATAGCTCTTAAATACAGCTCGAGAACTCATTTGCAGGCCACTGAGTGTCATCATAAATGACCAATTAAGGCCAAAAAAGCTATTACTGTCTATAAAACCTGACTTCAGCTGAATGTATTAAAAAGAACCAGTAAATTTAAAAGGATAACAACCCACAGTTATACTCCTAATGGCACACTGAGTACATGAAAACTGCAAAAATGTGATCTTTATGCAGCTATGTGCTCAAATCCTCCAGTATTTACAGTATACTTAAAGTTCAGTAAAGTTTCAGTGTTAAATTTTATTTCTAAGCTATTAATGTATTTTCCACTATTAGGAACTATTTCCTCTGTTACATCTAGAGGCAATATCTTAGCGTACCAAGCCAAAACTGCTGTGGGGGAACTGCTTAGTAAAACTTAACGACTTCAAAAAGGAGAAAAGCTGATTTAAATCAATCAAACATTCTCACCAGCCATGGGACAGAATCCGTATTTACGCTCTCCATCGTAGTCAGTAGTAGTACCACACCACTTCATCCCGTCACGACGGCCTTCAGATGTGCAGTCGGTGTAGTTGCGTCCATTATACTTGAAGGGGAACTGGCAGAGAGCGCCATTAGAGTTTCCACCACGGGTCGTCACAAGCTCTGAAAGACCAAAGAAAGGAACAATCAGACAAACCAAGAGGGAAATCTTGAGCCATTACTTTACTAATGTGGACCAGGCCACCATATTGTATCTGTAACTCTTTGGTCAACCAGCTTTACAAGAAAGACCATGAAATGTGGCTAGGCTGGTCCGAACTAAGTATGGACAAGTATAGACATTTCTGCAGGTTTAAGTAGGTCTATTCTGCAGAGAACATAAAGAAAGAGGCTCTGAGATGCACTTACGGTTCTTTCCGGTACAGAATGAGTACAGGCCATCACTGTCGTAGTCAGAGGTGGTACCGCACCATAGCTGCCCATCACTTCGGCCCTCAGAAACGCAGGAGTAGTGGGTGTTCCCACTAAAAACAAAGGGGAACACACATGGCTGCCCACCAGAGTTGCCACCATAAACCTGGGACTGTCCATCTGCGTAAATCAAAGAGAGGACAGCATTATTAATGGCACCAGGGGTGTTTCAATCATTAGAAATGTGGGTTCATGTCCTGCCAATATTTTTAAAAATTATAAATTCATCCCCCGACTTTTTGAGAGATAATCAGTATGTGTCAAGGGGTACAGAATGAGGGTCAATGGGCTGGCCAAAACAGTTTGTTTTAGCCCTTTTTCCAATAGCTAAAGCAGTAGAACATAGCGCTAGCAATGCCACGGTCATGGGTTAAATTCCCAGGGAATGTACAAACTGGTAAAACTTGCATGCCAAATACACAAAAGTAAACGTTTTTGCCATTTTATCCATAGAAATAGTAGAATGTGGACAAGAAATGGGTGAAAAAGGACTTGAACCTACATTGGCCCCATGACCTCCAAGTCTCAACAAGGTCGTAAAGTGCACGTAAAGATTCTAAGACCTGGATAACATTCTGGATAGTGTACAAAATATCCCAGGATCCCTGGATTTAAACGTCACCTTGCTCCTCGCAGCTGATTCCTCCTCCAACACAAGTGCACAGCATTTCCTTGCTGCCTTGAGTTCTGATCCAGCTCATGCCATTGGAATAGGACACACCTGAATCGGTTTTACAGTTACCCTCCTCCTCAAGAAGTTCAGACAGGACGTTGACTTGGTTCATCACTTCTGAAACTCTATGAGCCACGGAAGAACCAGAACCTATAGTCACAAAGACAACAGAGACAAGTTGTTGAAGCTTATGACCAAAAAAAAAAGAAAAAAAGAAGCCTTTTGGGAATTAAAAATCTATTTTTTAATTTTGGGGAAGTATGATTCTATGATCCTACAAAAACTCCTACAGATCTTTTTGGTTCTTACTTGATTCTTAGAGTCCTACTGGATATTGTGTAAACTTCATCAGATCTCAATTTGTATTGCATTGAAATAATGTTCTGATGCTTGTATCCTATTCATGTAAATCACGTTAGGGACTTTAAAAGTTTAAACACCCTGAAAGATTTCCATTTGATGTTGTATAGAGGCATTTATCCTAATTTGTAGTCATAATGGCCTAATTTTGGGAATTGGGAACTTTGTGCTTTAAGATCTACTGTAGTTCTAGTTTTATGCTATGCTTCGATCCTTGGAATTCCCATTTGGTCCCAGATTTGTTACAACAGAAATTTCAAGAGGTTGCTTTGATTTGATTGTCATTATGTGAAAATTAATTCACAAAAGCGGGGAGAATTGTAACGAAATAATGCAATTACACTTCTAAGTCTTTTCCATCCATTAATTAGTCCTATCAAACAGCAGATGGTGTACACTTACCAATGGCAGGTGTTGCATGGGAAGCAGAATGTCTGTCACACTTCCATTCTCCACGACCGTTGCCTGTGCAAAGACACTGCAGAGTGTTTCCATTGGAGTCAGTTTTGGTCCAGGTCTCACCAATACGGTATGAGGTTCTGGAGTCCTGGTCATTACAGCGGTCTGGAAAAGACAATGAAACAATGCCAAACATGTAGTCAAGGTGATAAGTGGCATATAACAATGAAAACATCCCTCACATCCATTCATCCCACCCCTTCTCTTCTGATGTTCATGCTTGGAACAAGCTTGTTTAGGAAACACTTCCACACCATTACACTTCAGTAGGTTGTCTTAATTTATGACCCAAGTGTTTTCAGACACTTTCCAAGCAGAACAGGTGAAGGAAGCCAAGATCTTAATAGTGTTTCTTCACCCAAACCACTTTTCTTTCACTGCAAGACTTCGACTTCAACTTCAACAGCCCTGCAAAGTGCATGCTGTAATTTTCCATGTGCATAAGCCCATCCAGCTACAGGAAGCTTGCAGAGCTCATTGGTAGTTATGTAATAAGGGTGTGTCATGTAAATAACTTCAAAGTCATGAAAGGAGACATGGGAAAATTGTGTGCTTTGGAGAAAAAAAAACAGGACCTTGGAAACGAGTAGGCATCTACTGGGCAATAAACACAACAAAGAGGTGTTTTTAGAAAGTCCGTCACAAATGTATTCTTTTTCTTTTTCTTTTTTTTAACTGATGTTGAAGACAGACTCTTACTTCTGGAGGTGCAGGTTATGCGCCCGTTGCCCTCCCCCAAACAGGTGCAGTCCACTATCATCCAGCCTTGATAGGGTTTTTGCCATGTCTGACCAACCACATATGAAGATCCTAGTGAGTCATCATAGCAACGCTCCGCTGTGAAGATACAGTAAATTTAGCATCTTGTTCTTACCACTCGGGTGTGGCATGCTAGCATGTCAAATTTCCAAAAAGAGTCACAAGCAGTTTTATCTGTATACTATACATAATCAACCAAGCATCAAATAAACAAACCAACTAACAAACAAATAATAATTAAATCCACAGGTCATATACACAACCTTAAATAATAATTTAAAAAAAAATACAGCATAACCTTTCAAAGAAATAAACATTTTAATTGAATGACATTTTAAAATTATTTTTAAAAATAGATATGCCTTAATCCCTTCTTTGCAAACAACTTGAATATTTATCCAGAATTACTGGAATCACTATTAGTCTGAAAACTGTTTGCAAAGACAAATGTACAGGTAAACACTTTCTCACCGACTCGTTTACAGGTCCACTCTCCCTTTCCATTGCCAAGGCACACACATTCAAGCATGTAGTCTCCAGTGTCGTGGGGTCGTGTCCAGGTGTCCCCGATTCTGTATGAATTACCTCCTTCATGGCAGCGATCTGCAGAAAAAAAACTCTGATCCGTTTAGCAACGAGAAAAAAGACTTTATTTTTCAGTCTTGTTCCCCAAGTACTGGGTAATAACTAGGTATTCTACTAACCAACCTACTCCTAAACCAATACTTTCTTAGGAAAACTGCACTGTACATACTGTAAAATAAAGTGCAACCAAAGAAACACTTTAATGTGAGCATTTTTAATTTACAATTCACACTTTTTTTTTTGTCTTGGACTTACTTGTGATGGTGCAGCTAATTTTGCCTTTGCCGGACCCAATGCAGGTGCAGTCCCATATCATGCTATCCTTCGGTCGCTCGTAGGTCTCTCCGACTCGGTAGGAGCGTGCATTGAATTTGTCATAGCACATCTCCTCGGCTACAGGTGACATAAATGTGCATATAAACGATATATCTCTTGATTTACATCATGCTACAAATTTTGATTCATATTAAACAGAAAATAACCAAACAACTCGTTCAGAACTCACATACGTTATTAAGCACTCACACAAAAAAAGCATAGTGGAAAAAAAAGAACCTTAATGTGTCATAGCTGAAAATTAAAGAGTCTGAATAATAAAAACAGTCACCTGCTGGTTTGGATTTACACTTGACCCCTGATGCCCCCTGACAAGTGCAGATGAGAGTGCTGTCCATGTACGGGCGCTCCCACTCATCGTTCATCCTATAAAATCGACCGTTGTCGTTGCAGCCATCTAAAGTTAAAAAGACTAAATTAGCATATTCCTATATAAAACACCTATGTAGTCAACTTTTACACTGTACAGTGGTCTAATATACGCCCTGAAAAGTTTGTCTATATTTTTGAAGATAATTTTTTTCTCCATTCAAAATCAAAAAAAATAACCTGACGAACTTACTTTCATGGATGGCTAAACTCCTGGCTTCCTCGTAGACCGGGTCCAGACGGATTTGTTGCTGCGTTTGTCTTTTACTTTTCCCTGCAGATTGTGGCATACAGTGGACAGATCCCCCGATGCACAGCAGGAGCAGAAGCTTCTTTACTGAGATACGGGTCATTTTCACCCGTTACGGAGAACAGTTGTTTTTTGTGTGTGTGCAGTATTTTCTGTTGCGCACTGAAGAGGGAGGCGCGGAAAGGTTCGCGGAGGCTGAGTGTCTTTGCGCACGTTTGTTTCCAGCTGCCTTCCCCGACTGTGCTGAACCTCCGCCGTCCAGCTGATGTGGGACGAGCGCTCTTTTAAAGGGGGATTTTATGCAGCCCAGTGCGGAGAGAGAGAGAGAGAGAGAGAGAGAGAGAGAGAGAGAGAGAGAGAGAGAGAGAGAGAGAGAGAGAGAGAGAGAGAGAGAGAGAGAGAGAGAGAGTGTGTGTGTGTGTGTGTGTTTGGGGGCTTGAGGGGAGGGATCTCTCACCCTCTACAGTATGTGCGTGCGTCAATGTCGGGAAATCTGCGAAGTCACCTGAAGTCATAAACCGGCAGGTAACTGTCATCTAGAGTTCATAATTATTCTGAGCTGAACAAGTTTTAACATTCTATATATTTGAGATTATCTATTATATCTTTGTAAATATATATAGGCCTATAAAAAAATGCAATGTAGGCCTATGTGACCCTGGACCACAAAACCAGTCACATGGGTACATTTTTTGAAATTGCGATTTATACATCATAAATGCTGGGTTGTTTCAACCCAATTTTGGGTCAAATATGGACAAACCCAGCCATTGGGTTAATTTTTTTAATTGCATTTTTAATCCAAAGTTTGGGTTTGTCCATATTTGACCCCAAATTGGGTTGAAACAACCCAGCATTTTTTTAGAGTGAAAGCTGAATAAATGGGCTTTCCATTGGTGTATGGTTTGATAGGATATGACACTATTTGGCTGAGATACAACTAGGCCTATTTGAAAAACTGGCATCTGAGGTTGCAAAAAGATCGAAACATTGAGAAAATTGCCTTTAAAGTTGTCCATTTATGTTTGCAATTGCTGCATTCACTCACAAAAATAAATGTTTTAGATATTTACGGTAGGAAATTTACAAAATATCTTCATGGAACATGATCTTAATATCCTAAGGATTTTTGGCATAAAGGAAAAATTAATAATTTTGACCCATACAATGTATTGTTGGCTATTGCAGGGTCACATTATCTATCTATCTATCTATCTATCTATCTATCTATCTATCTATCTATCTATCTATCTATCTATCTATCTATCTATCTATCTATCTATCTATCTATCTATCTATCTATCTATCTATCTATCTATCTATAGGCTACGTGTAACAAATGCCCTATCTTTTCCCTTATGTTTTTTTATTTGCTTAGCTTAAGATGTATCCTCCATGCTGAATAAAGAGGAAAGAGAGCAGAGCCATTCTGGGCACACTGCTTACCCATCATGCCTTGAGTTTTTTTTCTGGGTGGAAAATATGTGATATTGCTGGTGCATGTTTTCGTCTGGCTTAGGTGATTCTGGAAGTCACTGAGTAGAAAGGGAAATAGCTGCTGGCTAAAAAAATGATTTAGTAAACGTTCATTTACAGGAACTGATGTCCAGTGGTGTCCATGTCCAGGCATGCGACTCATTATAAAACTCTCATTGCCCACAATAGAGCGGTCTACTGATGCAAGTTTGTTCAGTTTTGTCATCCAACTCTTTCCTTTTCACATCTGTGAAACACATCAGTAGGATTTTTAGTAAATGTCATTATAATCAGCCCATGAAAGCTTGAGTGCTGCTGTCCTAAAAGGAAAAGAGAACAAACCAAGTACAAGACATTCATATGCTCACATAAATTTTTCAGCATTTAAAATTAAAATTAAGCATATACATTTTGTAATGAAAAAAGCTATATTAAATTAGAAAAGAATACAAAATAAGAACATTTTCACTATTGTCTCCTACTGTATACCACATATTTGACATATTTTCCACCTTTATGACTTCATGCGCAATTGACCAATCAGAATCAAGCATTCCACAGCATTCCATATTATAATATTTCAAGCATTCCACGTAATACAATTTAATAATAGACAAGGAACCTGAAAAAAAGTCATTTAGTTTATTTAATAGAACAAATCACCAATTACATGTAGGCCTACCTGTGAAAAAGTAATTGTCCCCTTCAAGAAATTGCTAGAAATTTAGGTAATCAGATATGAGAACAAGCAGGACTTAAACCACATATATTGAAAGCATCTACAGGTGCACAATGCTGTGTTGAAAGTGAATTCCAATTTCAACTTATGAAGTGGTGACATGAGTCTATATTTTTAATATTAACTCAAAAAATAAAATAAATTGTGTCTTTACTCAGGTTTCCTACAATGTTGTGTACAATGTTGCACGTCAGTTCTCAAAAAAAGGGTGCAAATACCTTTACAAAACTCTGTATATACACATCTTTAAAGTTGTAAATAAGTATACGGATTTACAAGAAAATACAATTTCAGTCTTTCCATTTCAAAACTTCATGTTTAATTAAATGTGTTACTTCTTTGTAAAATTTACTAGCAATTTCTGAGTGAAAACAGTTTCTACACCATTTTTTTGTTCAGTGTATACACACACTCACAAGGTCTTCTCTGTACGAAGCTGTCTCACACCCCATATCCAGTTACAGTAAAGCAGTGTTGTAAGGGACCGTCTGAATCAGAAGCAAACAAGCACTCGCACAAACACCGCAGGCATGGAGCAAAGGCACGTTGATCATTTGACAAGTTCAAAAACATCATGATTCAGAAGTGAATTGACATAACAAGCAGTGACTCAACGACAGACAGGTGAGCTCATCAAGACAGAGATACGGCCTCTACAAGTTTTTGCCTCCAGCTGTTTTTTTCCACTGCATTTTTTTAATGTATATGCTGAAGAATTAACAGAGGATTCACTATTTAAACAAAACGTCCTTGAGAAAGCCTTGCTCTAGTATATAGTTGCATAAGAGAGCGGATCTGTGTAGTTAGTTTAATATAAAGTCAGTTTGATTGGTGTGTGCAGTACATCTACTCCGGAGCACTTTGCTGAACTTTTCCCCTCAAAACTGATGGAAAACAGGATTTCGCTGACAGGGCCGCCCAACATTCTCCAAAGGTTTACAAGCCCTCTATTTTGTCAAGTGCAACACGATATTTTGTTCACTAAGCAATCTGCCTTCCATTCCATGTGTAGATGTTACAATAGACATCTTTGGAATTAATGTTCTTCATAATGTTCAAACTCTAACCCTGTCACAGTTGTGGATCTAAAACAAAAATAAGATCTAAAATAGATAAAGCACTTTGAAACCTGGGAGTGTCAATATAGTTAAATGAATAAGGTCACTCTTTAGCTTCTTCTTAGTTAATTCTTAGTATTAACTTACTATTACCTACAACTTTTGCCTCTATAAACTCCTAATTACTGCTTATTAATATTAGGTATTGTGTAGGATTAAGGGATGTAGAATATGGTCATGCAGAATAAGGCATTAATATGTGCTATGTACTAATAAACCAATATCCTAGAAATATTCATGCTAATATGCAACTTGTTAATAGTGAGAATTGGACCCTAAACTAGTGTTACCATCAATTAACCCTTGTGTTCTGTTCGATTTCTGTGTACACCCCTTATGGACCGGGTCAAATTGACCCTAATTGGATTCAATACAATTCCTCAAAAATCACACTATGAAAAACAACAAAGATTTAGATACAAACTGTAAACTTTTAATATCAACATTTGTCAAACATTACAAAAACATTATATCTGAAAATATGATTTATGAAAATGTTTTTAAAACATTTTTTTAAAACATTTTTGTTTTGACAAAATTGGAAAATAAACAGTATACTGATTTTTTTTGCATATATTTTTTTTTTTTTTTTTTTTTTTTACATTTTATGCTTTGAACATCGTAACTGAACAAAAAAAAATTCTGTATAATGAAATTTTTTCATTTTCCTAAATTAACTTTCCCTAGTTTCCTAAGACCTATTTTCCTAGTTTCATTATTCACTCACCGGGAAGTGAGAAACCAAACATAACAAAAACATACATCAAATAAATGTTTTTTATTTATTTTTTGGCTCTGTGAAGCTGCCTTTGAAAATCCTACATAAAAGTTTTGGTTAAAAGCTAGGCATTTTAGATATTTTGAATATTGAAATGAGAGCTTATTTTACTATCTGTGTCTGACAAAGATTTTCATCTGTAATTTGCAAATAATTCTGAACACTGTAATTTTAGCTTTTTCAAGTGTGTTTGGTTAGGGTTAGAGCACTTTTAGATGCACTTGCACGTTAGAACTATAATTGAAGTGCCCTGACATACAGAAAATAAATGTTTTTATTTTGTGTCTGTACAGTTGCTTTTGAATGGCTGTCTATGAGGGTCAAATTGACCCGCGAACATCACAAACGTAACAGTAATTTTGTTTGTATATGTCAAAACACATCAGCATGTTGAAACTTTGCATGCATGTTCATCATGATAAATGAGAAAAAGTCACAAAATATCAAGACAAAAAAACAAAGGTTAACCAGTATTTCCAACAACTTGAAAATCGAAACGGGTCAAATTGACCCGCAACATTTTCTTTTTATCTTTCATCAAACCATCAAAATGGACAAAATGGAGTTTTTCATTTCAATTTGGCACTGCCAACATTGAAAATTTGTATTGACAAACTATCTTTTAGTTTCATTTGTTGTTAAACAGTTATCATACGTTTAAAGTTGCGTTGTTCCAACAATACCAGAGACACAGTGGTGTAGTCTAGTTTTTTGTAGTGAGTATACTGTGATATACCAGCCCCCCACCCCGCCGCCGCCCAATTTACTACTGTTTAGTGTTAATCGCCATGTAACTCAGCCTGTAAAGAGCTACATTTAGCCTTAGATGTTATATGAATATGGTCCCTGAAGCACAGGTTTTATCAGCTGACAATTAAAAGACTTAAACTGAGAGACATCACATATAGTGTCTAGTGACTAACCTGGTTAATTTGACAAAAATTCGAACATTCTAAAGGCTCGGATAACTATAACAATAATGATGTAGTAGTTCTAAAAATCGTTCTGGATATAAAAGAATTGCAGGGTCCACAACAACTATAGCGGCACAAAGAAACGATATCTTTGAAATCACTTTCAGAATTATATGTTTCCAGCTGATGAATGATAGAAACGCTGACAGCCAATCAGATTCCGCTCTGCTCCATTCCCTTTAAAGAGCTCGA